CANATTCATACATACATGCATATATACATACATACATACATACATACATACAAAACAAAGAAACAAACAAACAAACAAACAAACAAACAATATATATATATATATGCATGTATGTATGTATATAGATATAGAATAGATATAGATATATATATATAACAGGATTTGGAATTGAGATACGCGCAAGTATTGAATATTTCAATTGTTATGCACAGTCATGTACAAATCCAAGGACGAAATAAAAAAGGTTGTTATTAAATAAATCAGTGATGCAGTATAACTACTAGGCTGTGTAGAGTCAAACCACTACTAACCTGTGTATAACTCAATGAAGTCGTACGTGAAACCAAGCTCCTCCTCGTCTTCTTGCCCATCCCACAGATCAGCACTGGGGGCGGCTTCGAGTGTGGATTTTGGCACTCCCAGTTCATGACCTACCTAATTGCACAGTGGGGTAGGGAATGCGTCAGAAAATCTCATCAAACAGAATCCTACCTTAGTCTTGGAATTGGCAGACACAGAGACTCGCAACATATGGCTAGTTATAGGACGTGAAATTGACTGCGCTTTGGATGAGTTTTACATACCTTGAACACCTCACTCTTATGCAGATCAGAGATCAGTTGAACATCCACTACGCCGTCGCCCGCCTGGTGCAAGTCGAATTGGAATGTGATTGGTAAGCGACCACGTGCAAACCTTCCAAATTTGTGCAGAAGGACTTCCCCCATTCCCATATAAGGCAAGTCAGCTGCAAAAAAAAGTACTTAACTGATTGCACAAACATACATTTGGTCATCCGGTCACATTATCGGCCAATTGAGGACGAGAGATATGTTATGCACACGCCGTAGAAGGAGCCATCCAAGAACACAAAAATAAGCACACGAAGCATGTACTTTAAATAGTTTACACTCGACCGTCTAAAGCAGTTCGCTAGAGTGCGAATTGTCATAAAGTGTAACAATTGACAACATGTTTGAATTTAGACTCAACTACATTGGTCTCCTTCTTCAATCTAGATTTAACTACATAAATCTCTTTGCTTGATAACCATACGAGACGACCTCAGAAAACCCGTTTAAATCCTATATCTCAAAAAAGTGTATTTTATAACTTAATTTCAGTTTAGGATGGGAGGCCCATAATGGACCTAATTTTCACTACACACACTGTACAGATTCTTGTCTGTGCGGAAAGTTTTTAAGGTTTAAGGTTTAGGCCAACCCCTTCACTACACATTCGGTACAGATTCTTGTCCGTGCACGAAGTTTTTGGGGTATATGGATTTAGGATTTTAGCAAGGCCTTAACACCTTAATGTACTTAACCTTCACTCTCTGTACACATTCTTGTCTGTGCGCGAAGTCGTATACATGTCTACACCATATAGAGATAGATAGCAGTAGAGTTTTAGGGTTTTCATCACAGATAAGAACGACGAGGCAATAAAAAGCTTACGACATTTTAATAGAAATAGGGAAGATAGAACTTTGAGACTATCCAGCCGTTAGCATAAAAAGTGAAGTACTTCTGACAAAAACTAAAAAAAGTATATACGACTTTCAGCGGATCTCCTTACTGGATACAAAAGTGACAAAAAATCGAATCAATGTTTGCCAAGTAGCACACAGTTGCTGAGGAGAGATGCTTCGTCCCACAACTGTGTCTTGATGTAGCAATCTAAGTGTTATTATCCGAACCATCGCAGATAAATGGCGCAACGGAAGCAACGCATAAGTGTGAATACATACATTCATCACACACACGCACCTTGCAGAAGTAAGCGAGGTAGCCATCCTCGTCCATGTTACCGGTTCCCATGACAACGCATGGGGTGCCTGATTGTGAGAGTAGCTGAGCACAGTAGTACGCTGTTGGTGTGCGCATATACGATCGCAGCTGTCCCGTGGCAAAGGCCTCACCCTCAATTCCACACGCATCATCGACCAAACTCTGCGTGTGCGGAAGGCGTCAGTGTTCAAATATATAGATATGAGTAGCTGTATGCTCGGATAAAACCATCCCTTGGCGCTACGTCGTTGTACGGTGTGGCTGTAGGCCTGGGTATATAGTGGGCCGTGTGTGCATCTTGCAGGGGATTATCATTCCCAATCTCTTTGTGACATCAAATGAGAGTGTGCTGCATATACCTGGATTTGCTTGTGGATGGCAGTTTGGTCGATGACCTTCATTTCACACTTGAGAGCTTCACAGGCCTCGCGTGCACGATTCAGAGCCCAGTCAGACGAATGGATGGGCTGTGAAATGGCCAGCACCTGCATGAGAGCATCAGGGCAATGAGCACAGACAGACACGTAGCAGGTGGCTCATGATATTGAGCACAGACACGTAGCAGGTGACTCATGATATTGAGCACAGACACGTAGCAGGTGGCTTATGATATTGAGCACAGACACGTAGCAGGTGGCTCACGAAATTGAGCACAACACGTAGCAGGTGGCTCATGATATTGAGCAGAGACACGTAGCAGGTGGCTCATGATATTGAGCACAGACACGTAGCAGGTGTCTCATGATATTGAGCACAGACACGTAGCAGGTGGCTAATGATATTGAGAACAGACACGTAGCAGGTGGCTCCTGATATTGAGCACAGACACGTAGCAGGTGGCTAATGATATTGAGCACAGACACGTAGCAGGTGGCTCCTGATATTGAGCACAGACACATAGCAGGTGACTCATGATATTGAGCACAGACATATAGCAGGTGTCTCGTTATATTGAGCACAGACACGTAGCATGTGACTCATGATATTGAGCACAGACACGTAGCAGGTGGCTCATGATATTGAGCACAGACACGTAGCAGGTGACTCGTGATATTGAGCACAGACACGTAGCAGGTGTCTCGTGATATTTAGCACAGACACGTAGCAGGTGACTCATGATATTGAGCACATACACGTAGCAGGTGTCTCATGCAAACCCACCGGATGAGGGCCGTGACTGCATTGGATGCTGCAGTTCACTAAGGCTATAGACTTAGTGAGAGCTAATATAAACCACTGTTGTGTGCCTACAGTTGAAGTATGAAAGTATGCAATTGCACGCACTAGAAATTGTCAACACTTGTCAGAGTTTGATGTTCCCAGATACACTAATGAGATGACCTGTGTGCAGCCCTGTGTGTACGATACACTTATGAGATGCACCTGTGTGCAGCCCTGTGTGTGTGATACCTTCTTAATGGGAGAGTCTGGCTTTGACTCGGCGTATTTGCACAGTGCGAGCGTCACGGCGCTGTCCACACCGCCACTCACAGAGATCACACATGCCGTAAGACCTGTGTAGTATACGTATTAAAATGAAGTGTTGGTATAAAAGCGCGTCGCATTCGAATTGAAGCAGTCAGAAAACCTCCTGAAAAGGCTCACACAACTATCACAAGAATAACACAACACCCTTACACAACTAGCACAAGAATAACACGGTACCCTCACACAGCTATCACAAGAATAAAATATCACACTCACACAACTATCACAAGAGTAACACAATACGCTCAAACACGCGAGAAGGCATCAAATTAATGAGGGGATGAGGAAATGGCAGTGAGAGAGTGACAGATAGAAAGAGAGATAGCCACAAGGATAAGGGCACATGACAAAACACAATACATACATGCGAAGAACCGTAGGAAAACAACACGTACGACGTAATACTATACACATACAGCACATCCCATTTCTATAGCATATGACTCCACATAGTTTGGCAAACTCAAAGCAAGATATGTGTACTCGACAGACACAAATATGGCAGAGGGTTTTTAGGCTTTAGAGTTTTGAAAAAGGGTAAGTATGACCTACCGCATTGCTTTAGGTATGCGTTGAATTTGTCCACCTTCTTATCAGCCCAGTCGCGAGCGTTGAATCCTCTCTCTTTACGATACTCGTCCAGCAACACCTGGGTCCATAATTGAATCAGTGAGTGCACAGTTAAGTCAGTGAGTCTATAGTTTTCTGTGAGTGCACAGTTAAGTCAGTGAATTCATAATTGAGTCTGTAGTCCATAGTTGAGTCAGCGAGAAAATAGTTGAGTAAGCGAGCAAATAGTTAGTCGGTGAGTAAATAGTTATCAGTATGTCCATATATAAGTCAGTGAGTGCAAAGTTGAGTCAGTGGGTCCATAATTAAATCAATGAGTCAATAGTCAGTAAGTGCATAGTTTAGTCAGTGAGTGCATAGTTGAGTCAGTGGGTCCATAATTAAATCAGTGAGTCAAATGTCAGTCAGTAAGTGCATAGTTTAGTCAGTGAGTGCATTGTTGAGTCAGTGGGTCCTTAATTAAATCAGCGAGTCAATAGTTAGTCAGTAGGTGCATAGTTTACGTGAGTGCATAGTTAGGTCAGTGATTCCATAGTTAGCCAGTGAGTCAATAGTTAGTCAGTAAGTGCATAGTTTAGTCAGTGAGTGCATTGTTGAGTCAGTGGGTCCCTAATTAAATCAGTGAGTCAAGAGTTATCAGTAGGTGCATAGTTTACGTGAGTGCATAGTTAGGTCAGTGATTCCATAGTTAGCCAGTGAGTGTATAGTTAAGTCACTGCGTCCATAGTTAAGTCACTGAGCCCCAAGTAAGTCGGTGACTCCATAGTTAGTCTGTGAGGGCATAGTTACGTCAGTGGGTATATAGTTAACATTTAGTGTTTTGGGGTTTGAGTGCATCGTTATGTCAGCGAGTACTAAGCATGATTAGGCAGCGCAAATTTAAGCACACCCTCGACACAAGCTGCGTGGCTGAGGGCCGCATTTCTGTACAGCCCACACGCGATACCAATTGGCTTGCGTTCTACTTGAGACTGATGCTAGGAGTATTGAATACGACTTACTAAAAAGCGTCTTATTAAGCATGGAGTCCGCCCTATATCAGGAACCATTGGCAGTCATTGGAAGTACTATAAACATTGGAGGTGCTGTTTAAAAATCTAAGCGTGATGCTTGATGGACATTCTACGGATGAATTTAAAATAAGATGAATCCTTTATTCTCAACTGGAGGACTCGTCCAGATAGTAGAGCCCTTTGCCATTTTTTACTCCCCCGGAACTTCTTACGTATTCTCAACTAATGATCACAGCCCAAAAAGATTACACGATAGTTCAGTTAACTCTACAATGATCTATTTGAAGAGTTAAACCACAAGCACAAATAAGACTAAGCGATCATAAAACTTCAGCAACCTATGTAGGCACCGACAATTCTCATTCGTCGAACTAATGTATTCAAAGTACGCACTTCAGTTGCTCAGCGATACCACTGCACTTGTAGTGGCCACAACGACCCTAATACAACACAGTGGTCAAACTATCAGCAAGCACACGTACCTGAAACTACCAGCAACACACGTAATTAAAACTATCAGCAAACACGCGTAACTAAAACTATCAGCAAACACATGTAACTGAAACTATCAGCAAACACAGGTACCTGAAACTGTAAGCAAACACAGGTAACTGAAACTATCAGCAAACACGTGTAACTGAAACTATCAGCATATACGTGTCACAAAATCTATCAGCAAACACAGGTCACTGAAACTATCAGCAAACAGCACATGCAACTGAAACTATCAGCAAATACATGTAACTGAAACTATCAGCAAACACACGTAACTGAAACTATCAGCAAACACACGTAACTGAAACTGTCAGCAAGTATATGTAACTGAAACTATCAACCAACACAGGCAACTGAAACTATCAGCAAACACGTGTCAATGAAATTGTCAGCAAACACAGGTCACTGAAACTATCAGCAAACACGTGCAACTGAAACTATCAACCAACACAGGCAACTGAAACTATCAGCAAACACGTGTCAATGAAATTGTCAGCAAACACATGTCACTGAAACTATCAGCAAACAAATGTAACTGAAACTATCAACAAATACATGTCACTGAAACTATCAGCCAACACGGGCAACTGAAACTATCAGCAAACACCCGTGACTGAAACTATCAGCAAACACATGAAACTGAAACTATCAGCAAACACACGTAACTGAAACTATCAGCAAACATATCTAACCGAAACTATCGGTAAACACATCATAACGCAAACACATGTATCTCGAAACCATCAGCCAACACGTGTATCTCGAAACCATCAGCCAACACGTGTATCTCGAAACCATCAGCAAATACATGTAACTGAAACTATCAGCAAACACATGTAACTGAAAGTATCAGCACACACATGTAGCTGAAACTATCAAAAAACACACGTAACTGAAAGTATCAGCAACACATGTAACTGAGATTATCGGTAAACACATATAACTTAAACTATCAGCAAACACATGTATCTCGAAACTATCATCCAACACATGCATCTCGAAACTATCAGCAAATACATATCACTGAAACTGTCAGCAAACACACGTAACTGAGACTATCAGCAAACACACGTAACGCTTTACCGATGTGCATCAATACATATGGACGCGAATGACAACAAAATGGAGATGACACATTGTTGGTCACGACATCGTGATTATATCACAGCATCTTCACGTAAAAATTCTAAGCAGCATATGATGAACAATCGCTTACCATACGGCAGAATTGTCAAAGTGAAAGTTTAATGCCCAATGTAAAGCGAAGAAACGATCTTCAAAGTGCTGACTACCAGATGCTACATTGGAAGTACTTTTGCACTCGTTGGTATTGTCGTTGGAATTAGTTTTGCACTCGTTGGTATTGGAAATATTTGGGCATTCGTTGCCTGCATCGTTTTCCTTATTATCACAGTTTTCTTATCGTCGGCTCAACAACAGCATTATCTAATGACGCAGCTTTGAAAATCTTGAATTTATATGAGTGCGTTATACACATCAGCACAGTGCTGCTGCCAGTGTATATAATGTTTCCACCCGTACTCCAACACAGACCCGTAATTCAGGGAATACACACAAGTGATTCGGGAATACAAAGCCAGACAAGACACACCTGAACATCCGCGTGTAGCTTCACCATACTGTAAGTTTTTTGTAGCCGTTGCTGTCCGCGACAAATAGTCTGGACAGGTCTATTTGGTATATTGTTGTGGTTGGTGGGTAACCTTTAGGTGGCTCACCTACTGCACAGATCACAAAGTAAAATGAGATCAGCGACCGGCGTGTCTGTTTACTTTTATATTGTTTTGGCGATGACTTCCTCTTCCACAACAAGAGAGAGTTGAAGAAAGTGATGACTGATGAGTCTGCCGTTGCCCATAATCAGACGCTGCGCCGTAGTGTGATGCGCCAATCAGCGCTTCGTTGGTCAAGTTGCTTGAGAACTGGGACACTGTGTATAAGTACCGAACAGCTCGTTCTGAAATAAGAGGTGACTGCCGACTGCTGCGATGAATTCATGGCCTCCTCCGTTATCCGTGCTGTATTTTTAGATGCAGTATTCATGGCTTTCTAACTAATAAAAATATCAAGCTATTTCTAATTACATGCTGTGCCTTCGATGTAGTTGAGTGCATCTGTTCAATATATAGCGCATTATATTCATATATTTATTTGTTAAGTAGTGGGACAAATAGAGTATTGATTGCAAATGGCTTCACTCTCTGCCCTGGTGGGGTATGGTGGGGGTGAGAGTGATTCAGATTCTGCATCCACCCCCGTGTCACCACAGTCCACTGAAGGCGATGTGGTGCTTGTGGGAGCCGAGGGATCGAAAGATACGCAGCAGTCGAACGAAGGCGATGGTGTGCTTGTTGGATCAAGTGCAAGCGCTGAAGGTAAAGAGAGAGATCAGAAGGATATGGATAGTACGGCGGGCGTAGATGGGTCGCCAAACGGGGTGGACGCAAGCCTTAAGCGAAGTGCACTGGATGACGAAGAGAACGCGGACTCTGATGGAGACTACCCGTTCGCCTGTAAGAAAATCAAACTGCCGCCGCCAGTGGTGGGTGAGGTGGACATGGAACTCAACGAACGCATCACCAAATACATCACACTCAGCAAAGACAAGGGCAGGAACTTCAACGCCCGCCTGCGTACTAACAAGAACTTCCAAAACCCACACATCTGTGAAGTACTGGTGCAGCAATTGGGACTGAATGAGACCCAAAGCATGTGTGCCAAGCATATCTTTGATCCGGCAGAGTTTGATGATAAGGGCTGCTACTACCAAGATTTGTGTACGTGACTGCAGCTATCTGTATTTTTACTTTGACTACTTGCCGGTAAACTTTCTTATGTATGTATGCATATAATTACGGTTCTACATCTGCGAGGCTTATATATATATATATATATATATATATATATATATATATATATATATATATATAATATATATATATATGTATATATATGTATACTGTATATATATAATTATATAATTATAATTATATATGTATATGTATGTATATATATAAATATAAATATATGC